TCCCGTGTTGGCATGTTCTTGAAGAAATCAGTGTTCAGTCACAGTAAATTGTATGTAGTTGTTTCACGCGTTACGAATCGTACAAGTTTGAAGATTTTAATTTGTGGACATGATGATGTACCAAAACTCAAACAAATAATGTTATGTACAAAAAAGTGTTAAAAATATATAAATAACCTTATTTTTATTCCAATATATACGTTTATATTTTGAACAATGATCCCATCATCAAAATCAAAATGTTTCCCTAACTATTACTAACTCGTGCATCGCACGGGTACCGCACTAGTTCAATTAAATCACAAAGTCATAGAAACTTTAAAGCCTACATGACAACCAACAATCAAAGAAATACAAATTACATCAAAGAAGTTCAAATGCACCACATCAAATATTCAGAATGTAATTTTTTTTTTATATATCTTTTTTGAGTTTGTTTCTTCATCGTGTTTCTTCTTTTGAATTTTGTGTTCTTGTGTTAGCTGCTAGTACTAGTTATAAAATTGCAAGGATCTGGAGAGCAGAATGGTTGTTCCTGTCACGTTGCACGCGAAAAAGAAACGGCGATAATGGAGTCATGTCCAACAGAGCGAACCATTTTGGGACGATTCTCCCGAATATTGGGGACATGCTTTTCAAGCTTATGATTCCTTTTCGAAATGGTAGACAGTTATTATACTAATACCCCTTTCATCTGTTAAATTTTCATTTTCAATTATGAACAGATCCAACAACTGTAGGTGAGATGTAAATGAGGTGTAGTATAGTTCAAAAGATAATTGATGTTTATTATCAGAAATCTTCATTAATCATTATTATTGTAGAAAAATTGGAGTGAGATGCTATAATGAGAGGATAGAAATATTTTCTTATTAATGTATTGATCTGGAAAAGAAATTGGAAGTACTTAAGAGAATTTCATTTTTTGAGAGAGGATCAAACGCATGTCAGCTTACCTTACATTAAGATTGTAGGGTGATTGACTGATGTCTTATTCAACTGATGAATGTTCCTTGAATTTCATTGCTTGAGTTTGTGAAGTTATTATTTATGTAGTTGTTTATTATCATAAATCTTCGTTAATCATAAATGAAAAATTGGAAAAGAAAATTAAACTTAAAATAATAATAAAAAAAAAATAATGGGGGAGAGGGGGTTAAAGAAATTGTACTTGGGCTTAGTTGACATATTATAATTTAAAATATCAATTTAGTTAAAGATTTTTTTGGTTAATAAATGATATTTTAACCTGTAAAATGTCAATTAAGTTGTCTATTTATCCCTTACCTCGGGAATCAAAGTCCTCGTATTTCTCTTACTATACTTACCTTGATAAAAGTAGATGGTGGGATTGAACTGACTGTCTAGCCCTCGTAGTCGTATGCTTCGTACTCCTCTTCATTTTTTGTGGTTCCACTAGTACTAGCAGTAAAATCAGATCCCTCATCTTCTTCATCCTCTTCGACGGTTAGCATAGTTTTTTGTGCCCTCATTTCAACATTCTTCCAATCACTCAACAGCATTTAGGCCTCCAAATTTTGTGGTGGTCGTGCGTCCAGTGTATATCCTCCCTTGTTGAATGCTTGTTCAACAGCCGGACAACGAAAATATCCTTGGCTATCAAGCATGGAATTGGTAAAATGGTAGACATCTTTGACCACCAATCCAAGACGTCAAATTTTTGATTTTGAGTCACTCCCTTTTACCTGAAATGGAAGTATCAACTAGGCCTGTAAACAAGCTGAGCCGAGCTCGAGCTTATGGTGCTCGAGTTCAAGCTCGAGCTCGAGCTCGAGCTCGGCTTGTTAAATAAATGGGTAAGAAATCGAGCTCGAGCTCGAGCCTTAACGAACCGATCTCAAATTTTAATGCGTCGAACTATAAAAAATTATATTAAAATTCATTTTTTGAGCCTTCTCGAACTAGGCTCGTTAACCAAACGAGATTAAATGAACTCGAGCTGAAAGCCTTAACGAGCCGCGTCGAGCCGAGTCAAGCTTGTTTAATGTAACACCACTAGTACCAACTATCACCCCCAATTAGAAAAAAAAATGTAACACCACTAGTACCAACTATCACCCCCAATTAGAAAAAAAATGAAGGGGGGAGGGGAGGAGAATATCTGAAACCATATATCAAAAAAAGAAAATTTTCAAATCATACAAAGTCCATGTAGAAAGCGTCCAAGCTACACAACCAATTCAACACAAAACAATATCATATATCAACCCAACAAAGGTTATATATAGTTTAACCCAGTGATCAATTAATTAGACTAAAAATCAGTAAAACATACTACCTATTATAGAACCACAACAACAGTATACCTTCTACAGAAATAAATCAAAGAATTTTACACTACTACTAATCAAATCAGAAAAATTTCCCTCCTCTCTACATGACCCAAACAGGCCATCAAAGACCCAAACTTCTCATCAACACTACTAATCCTACTTATAAATCCTCCTTTTTTTCTGTCCCAAGTAAAAAAAGACCCTACATATATAAACACCATCCCACTTCACAACACAAAATCTTTCCTCCCAACATCACGATGCAGTAGCTCGCGCGCAATCCGATCCCTCGCCTGCTCGGCATTGATCGACCTCACGCCATTCTCCGGTGCCACCTCATCATCGAAAACCTCGAACCTCAAATCCGAACTAAAACCCTCCTTCCTCATCTCGCACACGTTATGCAAAACGCAACACGCCCCCAAAACCACCGGCAAGTCCTGCAGCTTCATCTCGGTCCTCTTCTGCAGGCAGGCCCACCTCCCCTTCAGCCTCCCGAAAGCCTCCTTCGCAACTCTCTGCACTTCCCGAATCTTGTCGTTGTACGCGTGCTGGGCCCACGTCAGGTTCGGGTGCGCGTAAGGGACAAGGACCCAGTCAGTCAGCGGGTGGCCCGAGCTCCCCACGACCCACGAGTCCTTGAGTGCTCCTCTGCCTGCTCGTTGGGAAAGTGCCGATTTCTCGAGGATTTGCTCGTCGGTCATCGAGCCGGGCCAGCCGATGCAGACGTCGGTGAAGGCTCCAGTGGGGTCCACCAAGCCCTGCACGGTGATCGAGTAGCTCGTCTTCTGGTTGCGATCCGTGTGCCGCTTGTTGAAGTAGGCGGCCACGTTTGTTTTAGGGGCGATTATTGGGATGTGGGTGGTGTACATGGACCCGCAGAGGGTGGGGATGCCGGACAGCTGTTCGAAGTCACGTTTGATTTCTGATGACCGGTGGTCGTCCGGCCAGTGGAGGAATTTGGGCATGAGGACTGTGCGGATGGCGGTGCAGACCTCGAGGACGAGTTTGTGGCAGGTGGAGATTCCAAGGCCGAACCGCTTGGAGACCTCCCGGAGGGCCTCGCCGGTGGCGAGCCGCCACACGCAGACCGCGACGCGCTGGCGGACGGGGATGGCTTGCCGGAGCATGGTGTCCTTTTTCGTGACTGTGGACTCCAGCTCGTCGCAGATCATGTCGAAGGTAGCTCTGCTCATTCGGAAATCACGCTTGAACTGCTCTTCTGGGTAATCGGGGCTGTTCACCTGCTCCCACCACGCCTTCGACCGGCTCTTCACCCAGAGGCGGCGCTGCGCGCCGCCGGCGGCGGCGGAGTCCCCTGAAGTGGTATCTGACTCGGAGCGGGCGCGCTTGGAGAACTCGTTCGTTTCCTTGTGAAACTGGATGAAATCCGGGTCGGGCAGCGCCGGGAAAGAGTGGGGGTCGGGCTTTACCTCCGGCGGGGAGTCGGCCGCCATGAATTTGGTGAGGAGGTCGTCGACGGAGAAATCGGATTCGAAATCGGGGTACCTGGGCCGCTTTTTGAGGTTGGAAAAGGACGTTATCGGGTCCGGGTCCTGTGCGAAGGAGATTGAGAAAGGGTAATTGCAGTCCTCGAGGAACGGAAAGGACGAGATTTCCATGGAAAAGGGTTCGATTCAAAAGGGGGAAAATTTTAAAGAAATTGAGTTTGATTTGGAGGATTTTAAGGAGAAATGTGAAAAGACGAGAGCTTGGAGTGAAATGAGAGGTGAAGGGTTCTGGTTTTGTATATGTATAGATTGTAAGGACGCGGTTGAGGACGCGTTTGGGGAGGAAGGTTCGAGGGAGATGGTTTTTGACGGGTGGGTTCCCTGGTTTAGGTGAGTTTTTTATTTTTTTCCTTTTCTTTTTATTTATATATTTAAAGTGGAAATATTTTAGTTTAGTGACTAAAATGATTTATTTTTGTTAAAGTTCCACGCGGTCGATTCGCCTTGCGTGAGAAGACACGTTTCAGCAATTTATTGAAAAGTCACTTCAATCTTTCATTTTCATAAAAATAAAACTAGTTGGTTTCCGGCTGTGCATGCACAGCCGGCCCAAATTTAGTCATTAATCTTGCAAAAGAAGATCTTGCAGTGAAAAATTAGTGTGTCTATCAGTGTTGTAAAATCTTGCAAGGTGTTAATTCTCTCCAACCTTACATTACTTATTCGACAGATTTGACAGACGTCAGACACATTTCATTCGGTAAGAGTCGCTAAATTCTTGATAGTATCATCTACTACAACAATGTCATACTAACATGTGTGTCTAATTTCTTTCTCAGCGTACTTCTCACAAGCAATGTCCCTTTTTCCTTGGGCGTAAGAGCATGCTCTTTTATGTTGGTCAACAACTCTTATCTCCTGAATTACACAATTAAAAGTCAATAAACAATGTGGAAGATACGTTACAAATTGATATATTTCAAAACTTTGCAAAAATTCCAAAGATTATTAAATAGTGGAGCAATTGAGCAAGGAGATTTTAATTGCAGTAGGCTACTACAATCAAAGTATTTGAAGAATAAAAAAAGTATATATGAGCAAAAAGTAGTCTAAGTACTTTTAGTTTTCTAAGGAAAAAAGGGAATTTTTCTTATTTATGAAATCGTAAATTAACTTCCTATACATGCAACAGTATAGTAAGACACAGCAGTATAGTAAGACAAATTTTTTAGAATTGAATTTAGGATATGAATAAGAGAAACTAAAATAAACAAGTTCACTGTCGAATACACGTCCATAACCTGAAAAACTTCCAAATGAATCACAATGATAATTAACTTATGCATGCCGAGCAAAAGCAGTTAGATTGTGCCTTCTTTCATTCGCTTTGTATCAGTCCACTCACTTTTTGCCAAATCTAAAAATACACAGTTATAATGCCACTCACTTTTTGCCTAAGACCGAACCTTGGAATGGGTGTGACCAATGGACGCTGCCAAGATCGCAGTTCGCCTCCTTTCCAAATGGTTCGCGCTCCGCACGTTCACCGTAATCCCCCAGCAGTTTGTCAACATCCACCTCAAGCAAGACAGAGATAGGGTAAATTAAAAGAAATTAATGTTAAATATGGAGAAATATATTAAGAAAAATGAAAGGATCTAAAGGGATATATCACAACGATCAGGATCCATTCAGAGAGAGCAATGGAGAACGAACCATAACTCATTGCTATTGGCAAAACGAAGATATAGTCATAAACCTGCAGTACAAAAGAAAAAAAATTGGTATCACGTGTTTTTGTCATCAAACAATAACAATCAAAACCCAAATAGATCTATTAGATGAAGTCTAAATTAAAGAATTTATTCATTTTGAAATCAAAGTGTTGTGGGAGTTGTAGATTTACTATTCTGAACTGATGACTGGATGCGATAATTCATCGGTGAACGGATGTGGCTGTTCACCTTCAGACTGACCATGACTGTTCATGATATTAATTGAGGAATGGAGAAGACGTTAAATATTCCAATACAAATGAAAGATGAATAAAAGAGTAGAGATAGAAACTGAATTCGGACGCAACTCAAAAATCAACAAACTCTTTTTTAGCTGAGCAAAATAATAATAATAATAATAATAATAATAATAATAAAGGCGCATTTCATTAACTTTTCTCGATGAAACTGGCTTTTCTTTAGAGGTTCATAAACACTCCTTAATAAAGTTGTACATAAATTTGTCCCATATATACAATGAACCCATAAGCGAACAAACCCAAAATGATACAAACCACATGTGCATATGCTTTTAGACAGCAAAAAAGTATTAATAAAAATCACCTGAACAAACATTTATGTTCCATAAAATGATGTGCTAAGATTGTGGTTATAACCGGTAAAGCCAACCATTTTTAGCTCTACTGCTTGTTGCTTCTCGATCATATCTAATGTGTCGTAGATCTCCATCCCCATACCCCTTAATCACATTAAAAATGTGTGAATGCATGAAAGTTTGATCGCCATAAAAACAAGGCAGAACAAAACAATTAAATATAAAAATCAGACACCACATGATTGATTTCACATGTTTAAGAATCTGGTTAAAACTGGTCTTTGTTCCTACGGTTTCTCGCCATGTAGCACTCATACACAATCAAGTGTTGTCCGCCTCTTTTGCTAGCTCATATATGAATAGAACTAAATCCATATTCAAATAGATTTAACTCATGTAACAATCCGAGTAATTTAAAAATAATAGATCAAATAATTACTGCCTCTGTTATTAAAATTAATGAAAAAGATAAACCCACAACTGAAAAAGAACCAAGCTTGACGGATTTCACCTTGATCAATGGACATTCAATTGAAAATGCTTTCAAAATTGAAGCTAATGCTTACCGATTATACCTACCGGAGCTGCTTGCCAGCCATTGCAGGCAGGTCGTCATCGCACGATTTGTCCAATTAACTGGAAAATTTGGAGCTCAGCCGTCGCGGTAAGTTGTCCGATTAACAATGTCGCGGCGGTGGACCATCAACAACATCACCATTGTGATGACCGGCACCTGGAAGAGCCCTCCTCGAGATAGTTGCATTTTTATTTATGTTTCTATGTCTATAATCCATGTGTGTTTTTTCAATGTCTCATTTCAGAATGCAGTTTCCTCATCCTCTTCTTTTATTTCCAATTATTAAAAGATGTACTTCACGAAAATCTAGTAGGACTTTCCATCCTAAGTCGTGCCAAGTCATCATTAGAAATGACATAACCAAACATCTTATTGACATAACTGAGATAAAATGCCTGGGACGTAAAAGTGACATAAGTCGATTCAATATTTAGCGTGCACCTTCTTGAGCAGGATAGAAGTAGGATGAGCAACAAATGTTTGTTTTTCCCTGATGTAACTTTACTGTACCTGTTTGTTCACTTTTATGATATATGGAAGAGAAAACCTGTTATTTGTGAAGGCTTGGATTATTACCTTTTGATTTTGTCTTGAACTGTAACTAACCCTGTCCATTACTGGTTTTGTTGAGCCCTGACATCTTACTACTATCTATCTAGTTGCTGAACTCTCACATTTTTTTATATAAGGATGATATAATGCTTTTAACAGAATTTTTACTTTGTTAGTTGATCAATCTTTTGATGACTTATGAGTTTTCTCACAAGAAGTTTGTTTTTATATGTGCAGTACCTGCTTGTCAAAATTTGTACAAGAACTCTTTTACCTATCATTTTGTGCAGTATGATCTAAAGCTGTTGTTTGATGATGCGATTCAGTTTTTACTTGAGTCCTCACTACTCGAGTACTACAATATAGTTTTCTATTCTTCATCACGTATTGCTTACCAGTTAAGGTTTTATAACAAAATTGAAGAGTTTTTTATTTTGTGATGCAATGTTTGAAATGCATATGCTGCATAGGAAATGCATTTGAAATTATATTGTAAAATGAATAATAACTTTTATTGCATCAAATTTTTTCTTTCTTCTTACATTGGAACCTCACAAATTTGTTAATCAAAGCTATGTAAAAAATGGATATAATGGGGAATCCTCTAAAAACATATTCAAACAATTTGGAAATCAAAATAAGTTTCCAACACATGATCTGATAACAACATTGAAATTAAAAAATTTAATTTGGAACACAAAATGAATACCTAAAAGGATTAAAATAAGTTTTTGTTCACATCCGAGGATCAGCACCCTCCCCTCCCCCAACCTCTCATTTTCTATCTCATACCTTGTATGACTACAGTTCTTTTTAACAAACGTGTTGATTATCAGGCGTTAAAAAATAACAAAAAATTAAAATAAATAAATAAATAAATGGCAGTCATTACTTACTCAAGAGTTGGAGCTCGACAGAGTCGGCTCTTAGCCTGATGACCTATCTACCAACTCCCACACGTGACCGCCATAAAAGTCGAAGAACCGCCATCCCCGAATCTCGTGCGGCAAGTCTTGCACTCGTTTCAGAGCTCATGAGTCTTCTTTGTCAAGGGCTCTACCTCATGGGTACCAAGATGGGATCGAAGTACTTGTTTTCGATCCCGCCTGTTTATTTGCTTTGCCTGTAGAACACCAGGAATTTATGGCCGAAGGTGAAAGCAACGAAATCAACTACATGTACGATACGATAACGCTGCTAATCTAAACAGATAACCTAAAGTTCAAGCGCGCACATCGAACAATAAATTCAGCATAATCAAAATATAGTCGTCATCACTGGGGAGTTTAAAAAACAAATATAAAGCTACTGATGAGATGTGGGCATGTAGCCTAATTGTTCCACTAAAAAAGACAAGAGAAATTTATTTTCCGTAAATAATTACAAATAACCCATTGACATATATTCCTGAAATAAAGATGAATCTGAAGATTTAATGATTTAGTTTTAACTCTGAAGTTCAATGTCCAGTTTCCATCAGTTTAAACTGTCGCAATAGTTTTTGCTATTACCAGTGCATTTACTATTATAGGGCAGCACCTACCAGAACAGTGTTTCCCGAGTAATTTGTGCTTGCAAGCTCGTACATGTTTATCTTTTGAACTACATATATTAGCCATTTAATTTATGTTTCTAATTAGCATTGCAATTAATTTGTTAAACAAATCAAATTTCAAAAGGAAGAATTGTTGAAATACCATAAGAACACATTCAAACTTGGATACCTTTACTCTCGTTTGTATAATATAAATCTAAACCTTGAAATCAGTTTCAGTAATGGGGTTACAAAAGTTAGTTCAAACGTTTTAGTAACAGTCTTTACAGGCAATGGGGTTTATACAACTTCAAAAAGTACCTTATCCTATACCTGCTGGATGGCAATCCTCCATCACCATAGTAGTACTGCTTTGTAGTCTCTTTAGCAAACTCAGCAGGAGTCATTCCAACCTTTAACTGTGACAACAAATGCGGCATAATCTCATAGCCCATATGATTTCTTGACACCAAGCATATCTTCAGAAAGAGAAAAAGTCTTGCTCTAATGCGGGTGTATAAACAGAACAAAAATCTCCTAGATCAAATCATCCATTTCCACAGGCCCGCACACAATGTAAATTTAACAAATAAAAATCACATACAAAAAACCCTAGCTCACCCCATAAAAATCTCCGATCCATATTCATCAGTATCATCCGTGAAGAAGGGTAGATATGATGGTCAGTATCGTAGCCACCGGTGGCAGCGCCTCACTGAAGGTAGTTAAAATTGACGACTTTGCTCATCCTTGTTCTTTGCGCTGCTGAGCTTCACGGATGGCGTGTCTTTGGAGAGACCGGTTGAGCCCAAAATCGTGAAATTGGTGGATTACTCGATCGTTGAAAATTCGCCTCCAGTTCAATCGCGTAGTTCTTCAGGCCGATTATGTGGAAATAATGGTTCAGCCTTGTGCTTTCTCTCGCTTAAAAAGCGCTCATATCCCAAACTCCTCCCCGCCATCGTCCACCGCATATGCAAACCCAACTTTGTCTGCTGCTCTGCTTGTGTTGCCGCCTTTACCTGCCTCTCATAGAACTCCATGTCTGCCCTTTTAACCTTTGTTGGCAACAATTTCTCGAAGCCCGATTCATGGTAGGACCAAAACGCACAAACCGACGTCGCCTGTGCCTGGAGGCGCTAATTGAGGCATCGATGATCCGAACGCAACCGGAGATTGTTGCCGAGGCTCAAGAAATTGGTCAAGGGGATGGCTTTCGCGGCTAAGAAAGGGAAAAATATGGTGAGTTTCAGAGAAACCAAAGAGAGAGAGAAGAGTACGAAAGGCGTGTGAAGAAAGCGAATTCCTATCAATCGGTCAGAAGATGTCCAATCGCTATAAGACGTGCGACCGAAGAAAAATTTATGAGAGATTGTATTTACCCTACTAACCCCTGAAAACCGATTAAAGTAAGGCCATTTAGGTAAATTAACAACCCAACAACCACAAAAACGGCGTCGTTTTGCCTGGACAGTATTTAAAAAAGATCTAAATCGGATTTAATAAATAGGTAAAGAGGCCCCAAAAAAATTGGCAAGCAAGAGGTGAAATTGCCCATTCCCAAAATAAGCCACGTGGCGGCTACACAAATGAAACTATCAAAGCAAATGTGTGCCACGTGTCAGCTCAATATTGCCTTACATTTTTTCTTATAAGAATAAGAGAGATATACAACTTGTAATTTTTTTTTAAATATTTGTAATATAAAGTGATTTTTAAAATGCAATTTTTTTAAATGTACGGAAAATGCCATTACGTGTAACCATTAAAGCATAATAACACACATGGGCGAATCCAACGAATGGGATGAGGTGAAGTCAAATTTTTGTGTTAATTGAAAAGGCAAAAGGTATAAATAGACTATAATATTTTTTATGATATAACCAAACCTTTTAAAATCTCGTGCACAATTGCTATAATATTAATTTCAATAATGCTTTATCTAATCAATTGTTCATAATCATCAAAGATTGTAAAAATTATATTATTGCAATCGATATAAATATTAAAATGTACGTTAATGGTTTAAATTTATATTGTTCAATTTTACTAAGGCCTCGTTTACTTTGCAGGATGGGATAAGACAAATTAATCAAGCCCACTTGCCATGTCAGCTTTTAGTCCCTCGTTTACTTTTCGGGATTGAATTTGCTTAAATTAGTACCTTGTTTACTTCGATGTATTAACTGAGATGATATAGAATCCAAAGACTAGATTGTCCTTCTCTTGAATAAATCGATTTTGCCATTTCCATGCCCAATTCATTTTGCCCTATCTCTGCGCGACCGACGAGAAGGCAACCTTCACTCCCGCCGAAGAGCCGCCACTCCTTCAATTCGACCGCCGACGATGTCCCCCCGATAGCTACGACCGTCGACGACAACCTTCAATTCGGCAGTGCAGTGAGAGGTACGCCCATTTTCCGGTAATGAATGACCTAGTCTCTTTCAATAGCTAGTCCTTCAATTCGGCAGTCGCTTTCAATTTTTGCCTGTCACTTTCGATTTTTTCCTATGCTTCGTGAAATTGAAAAATCTTTCGATAGCTAGTATCCTTTCACTTTCGATTTTTGCCTATTCTTCGATTTTTTCCTTTTCTTCGATTTTTTCCTACTTTCGACTTTTGCCTATTCTTCGATTTTTTGCCTATCCTTTCACCTTCTTCACGGGCGAAAAATCCGAAGCTTCCTCTCACAAGAATGGCGTCGTGGTTTCTGAGATGGGCTAGGGCAAAACAGATGTAATTGAATTGAAGCTGTAATTTGATGCAAATTAAGGGGTATTTTGGTCTTTTCGCAGCAGTTTTTAGGGTAGAAAAGGTATGAGAAAAACGAGATTAATTTATCAGAGGGGAGAAGCGGGATTTTTTAATCCGAAAATTTGGGATGGAAGGTTGCCACATTTGGCGCCATGTCATTAAAATCTCATCCCAATCCGCAGAAGTAAATGAGGGAAACGGCGGGACTAAATGCCTTATCCTATCCTATACTGCAAAGTAAACGCCTCCTAATGATAAAACGTATAAAATGTGATAAGTTGATTATCTAACTTATGATTTTAAATATCACATACACACATACAACATATAAAATTTTATTTACATTTATGCATATACACATATAATAGAATACTAATATAATATGGAAAGACTCATCGGGTGCAATTTACTCTTAAAAGATGTTAGTTCTTTGTAAAAATTCTATGAAGTCATCCACCACTTAATGTATTGACACATGTTTAAAGTGTATTTATTGCAAGACACGTTTCAATACACTATTAGTGAATAAGTATGGATGACTTAATAAGCTGAACTATCCGATGACTCCATAGCAAAACTGTAGTTCTTTGATTGACTGAAGCTTAAAAACGTGCATCGTTAATACCTCTTAAATATGTCTCACACCAAAACTATATTCTTATTGTTGTTGGATTAAATAGTGGTCCACTTTAATTGACTCGAGCATAAGAAAAACGTGCATCGTTATTAATCTCATATTTATGTAGCCATCCTATTCAGAAACAGAAGAGTCTCCGCCGAAGCTTTCCCTAAATTGACGAAAAAAAACACCTAATCGCCACATCAAAAACCTCCGCCCAACAATCCCCGCATCAAAAACCATGGACATCCTTAAGCAGGAGCTTCTGAAAGAGCGGCAGAGACTCGCGGAGGACGTCGGCGACAAGGAATTCTTCATGCACTCGCGCCTCCGCAACGAGACCGAGTCCAAATACCTCCACCGCCAGAAGCAATCCAATCTCGATCAGCACCAGAACGACCCTGCCTCGTCCTCGTCCTCGTCCAACCCTAGCTCCAAGCCGAAAATCCCCAAATCAAAGCCCGAACCTTCCTCCAAATCCCTAGCCGAGGAGCAGAAAGGCGCGCTGGATTATTTATCAGTAGGCATGGATCAGGATCAGGACCAGCAATGGAATATCAATTGCTCGAATGCATCACTCGAATCCAGCCAACCAGGTTATGATGTTGCTCTTGCTAGATTTGCAGCACAACAGGAATGTGTATTGGAAATGCGGCATCTAGCAGCAGTTTTGCTAGAGCAATTTATCAGAGAACACTGGAATGAGGATGAGGGAGGCTTTGAGTATCCCAATGAGAAGGCAGCTGTGAAAGGACTACTTTTAGCATTGCTTGATGATCCTAGTAAGGAGATCCGTACTGCAGTAAGTGTGGCTGTATCGGCGATTGCGCGTTATGATTGGCCGGAATTAGTGCCTTTTCTTTTAACTTTAATTTCCGACAAGAGTAAACTGAATGGTGTGCATGGAGCTTTACTATGCCTGTCTCTTCTTTCCTCAGACATGGATGACAAGATGGTGCCCCAACTTGTCCCAGATTTGTTCCCATGTTTGCATCAGATGATGTCGTCTCCTCAGATCTATGACAAAAGTCTGAGGTCTAAAGCTCTGTCACTAATTTATAATTGTACTTCAATGAGTGGTGTGTACGAGATGGAAACAACTGCCCTGATGGAACAAATGCTCATACCTTGGATGAAAAGATTCTCGTCAATCTTGTTAGAGCCGGTGCCATCTGAAGATCCTGGTGATTGGAGCATAAGGAAGGAGGTGTTAAAGTGTTTGAATCAGTTCATTCAGAACTTTCCCAACATTACACAAACTTATTTTGCAGTAATTTGGGAAACATTTGGGTCAACGTTGGAAGTTTATGAGCGTTCAGCAATTGCAGGCGGTGAAGATTCCTATGACGATCGGTATGATTCTGATGGTGCTGAGCAAAGTCTCGAGTCCTTTGTTATCCAGTTATTTAAATTCTTATTGGCCGCTACTGGAAGCCCGAGGTTTGTGAAGGTTGTTATGAACAATGTATATGAGTTAGTCTACTGCACTATTGGTTTCCTTCAAATGACGGAAAAACAGGTTCATTCTTGGTCGCGCGATGCTAACAAGTATGTTGCTAAGGAGGATAACACTATTTATTGTCGTGTGTACGGTGCACTTCTGCTGCAAGATGTAGTGTCTAAATGCGGGACCGAAGGCATAAAAGCAGTGATGGAGTCTGTAGAAATGCGAATAAACGAGTCCCAAGAGGCGAAAGATAGTGGCTCTCCTGGTTGGTGGAGATTAAGGGAGGCTGCCCTATATGCTTTGGCTGCTTTGGCTTCTGTGCCTGAACAATTGTTGCTTGATGAAGTAGAGGTTTCTGGTTCCACTGTTGGAGCTATGCTATGGAAAATTTTAAGCGATGACATGGCAGAAGGTTTCCATGACTACCCCTTGCTTTGTGCCCGCTTATTTTCAACTGCTGCAAGATTTTCTTCCATGATGAACAACCAAGTCAAAGATGACTTCGTATGTGCTGCTATTAAGACAATTGTTATGGATGTACCTCCATTAGTTAAATTTTGTGCTTGTCGAGCTTTATCTCAGTTTTTACCAGATGCCATGACCGGTATTGTTCAAGTTTCTACGGTGGACTTATTCTCGTCACTTATAGGTCTTCTAAAAAATGCGTCTGCTGAAACTATGCATTTAGTACTTGAAACTCTGCAAGCAGCTGTGGCAGCTGTTTATGCAATTAAACTTCAAGTTTGACGTTCAGATTGTTGAACATCATGTGGCCACATATGATCATCGTGCATGCAGCAGGACTGAGCTTTGGGCCATGAAGCTTCATTTCCTTTGTTTTGTGTCTTTAGCAAAGTCGCATTTGTGTTTTATTTCTCTCGTCTGCGTTTTTTCATTAAGTGAAACGATGTCGTTTCCTTTAGAAATTAAAATTCAAATCTGGCGCTATAAATGAACATGATTTCTCTAAAATATGAAAATCTTAAAAAATCTCAAATTTCAAAAAATCTCAAAATGTCATTCGAAATAACATTTGTAATTTTAACTAAATACTTTTAGATACTAAAAAAGAAATTATGCAATTCCACCACCAAACACACCTTTATTAAAAAAATCTATATCTATATAAATAAAGTTTGTATTTACTTGAAATAACATTTGTAATTTTTAACTAAACCCTTTTTGGTACTAAAAAAGAAATTCTGTAATTTTTTTTCTTTTTCTTTTTCTTTTTATTATTGATATTTCTTGGAAACATGTGTAATAATTTATCTATTTATTATTTTTTTATTATTCAATAATCAAAAAATCTTTGTAATTATTTTCTTAATAAGCGTAAGGAAAATAATTTATTTAAATTTATAATGATTATTACATGATTACTTAAATTGAATTATAAATAGTTCTTTAACAATATATAAAATTGAATATAATTTATATATATATAAATATATATATTATTTTATTGATTTTTTAATTTATAAAATAAGAATATAATTTATTTTAAAAGCACTTTATTCGTCATAAACCATGCGCTTGTGGTATTTAATAATTTATGAATAACATGTTACAAAAACATTAACTAATATGCAAAATATCTCTACTATGTAATATTCAAACTGGCATCACGGCATCGTTTCAATTGCATAATAAATCAATTAATTCTAAATTCTTTAAAATCAATATGTTTATTGTCAGATAAATATGCATACAGTAAGAAATAATTAATTTATCTTTAACATACAATTTGTAATCTTAATATAATGTTACTTATAATAAAAATTTACTACATGAATTATAAAATATTTTTATTTCATAAAAAATAAATATATTTAAGGAAAATATGAAAATTTTAATGGATCAATCAGGTAACATATTGAGTCATTTGATTTTAGGAATAGTCTAGAAACACGACACAACTTAGATTGATCACGCATGACCAAGTTATAGGTCACTTTGGCTAAATCAAATTGATTATTGAAACTAAATATAAATTTTGATATTAAAAATATTTTATTAGATAAATGCAATGTAGTCCAAATCCCAAATAATCATACGAAAAATGCTTTTATGACAACATGTTAATTATATATTTAATTTATCACACAATCACAATATTGTTTACATGCACCGGCCATGGACTAGTTAATATATATACCTTGAACCAATTCTGGAGAGAGCAAGAGGGTGCAATATATATGCCAGAACTAAAGAATAATATATATGAAATAATAAATAAGAAACTGTATATTTTATACCTGTAAGTACTGAAATCCTAATAAAGAAGATCCTGATCAAGAATTATTAAACAAATTTAGAACAATGTGCTCTCTGCAGTAGAGAAGAACATTGCCAAATATGTAAACTTACAACAAGACGAATATGGTCACCTACGTTCCATGGGTATGTGCAACCTAAGATGCTTAATGTCTGACTATACATAATTCTCTAATATATGGCAGCTACAGAAACAAGGTATAGATTCTAGCAACTTCAAGAACATATATATATATATATATACACATATGTGATTGTGTGTGTGTGTGTGTGTCTATCATACCAATATCTTTCATGTGCAATAGCTTTTGTCCCATTCATGCCCTTGATGACGTTGCGCTCTTTTTCCAGTCTTGAATAGCAGAAAGCAGAGTATGATTGGGAGTTAGCATCTTATGTGGCAGTTTCTGTTTCGTCACAGGAGATACACTGTGTCTGTCGACCCACGCTTTTATCGCATCATGCTCGTACGTGAAACCATCAGCGGCTACATAAGGATTATCCATTATTTCCTGAGTCCATATCAACAAGCAATTAAAAGGCAGAGTTAAAGATACCCACCACATTTATTTTAAAAAAAAAAAAAAATGTCAAATATTAAGTTGAGAACAGTCAGTAACATCTAGAAAAGTTAAGGGGATGTAATTATAAAATATTAAAATGTTTAAGGGAGGATTTTCTAGTTATCCATCACATCTAAATTCAAGCTACATACAAAACAGAATCAGTATTTTTGTTTTCACCTGAAGGATTGGGCAGTAATAGTGTTTAGGAGCCCGTCTGTGATCCCTCTCACTCGAGCCACTAGAACCAGAAAATTCAGCAAGCCTTTTCAAAACCGGCAAAACCTCCATATCAAGGTCTGGTCGATCTCTACACCTGAGTTTGCAGCACCCGAGTGCAACAAGTGCCAGTTCTTGTGCTTCGGCCAGTGGCCAATCAGAAACCGACTTATCAAGAACATCCGCAAACGTACCATTCTTAACAGCATTCTCGAATCTTCCTATAAGCCCCTTGGGATGACGAGCGGCCAACAGCTGCAAAATTATCACTCCCAAAGAGTAGAGATCAGATTTCGGGCGGAGGGTACCTGTCCTATGGTACTCAGGGTCTATGTAGAAAAGGGTACCGGCCACAACAGAGTCTCGATATTCCGTTATATTGTCAGGGACGACATTGGAAATTATTTTCGCCAGGCCCACGTCCCCGATTTTGCTGACGAGATGCCTGTCGAGTAAAATGTTTCCGGGCTTTAGGTCGCGGTGGACAATGGGTTCAGGCTTCGCGTGGTGGAGAAAGGCGAGGCCACAGGCTATTTCGAAGGCAATGCGGAATCTGACGGGCCAGGGGAGAGGAGGTCTGTTGTTTCGTTTAAGAATGTGATCTTCGAGACTTCCGTTTTCCATGTATTCGTACACGATGCAGCCGAGTTCGGGACAGGCCCCGATGAGTAGGACTATGTGGGGATGGCGCAACTGGCTGAGAACTTCTATCTGCATTGCCAATCACAGTTAATGTCATGGATAATAAATTTGAAATAATTTAGATTTATATAGGTTCTGTTGAGTTTGACTCTATTATGAGAAAACCCAGCTAACTTCTCGTGTAGTCGTACTTTTTCAAACTACAACCCTGGGGGGTTTTTCCAACTTTTATAAATACCAAAATGTTTGTATGTTTTGCATATTTTTACTATGTAGAGAAAAGTTTGAATGATTATATGTAAGGCATATGGAGGGATTTAAGTGTAATGTATGGGGATGAGATCAAGAAATTGATGAGTTTGGCGCAAAATGAGACAATAGTCTAATAGCAATGGTGGTTTTTCTCTAAATTTTCAGAGTTAGCAGGATATATTTGCGACTATAGGTTACCTCAAACCTCAAGGATAGTTTTCGTAACTATCCCTTTTAAAGTAACTTATTAACTATTTTTAGTATTCCCAACTATGAGTGGAGCAAGTAGTCAATACTTCTTTTTCTCCTTAACATTCTTAAGCAAATATGTATAGTTCCAAAGCTGCTGGAATCTCGAGTCCTAAAGTAATATGTTATCCAATAATCGAGTTGTTGTGAGTTGCGACAACCAACAGTTTGTGCAATGGAGGTTATACCCATAAAAAATGCAAGATGAAATTTCAAGTTAAATCCACTGTAACTAACGACTGCTCTAAATCATCTATAGCATGCGTCAGCCATTTGCAGGCTTCACAAGACGATTATTATTTTTCTGTAAAAAATAGAATCAGCGAAAGTCGAACCTCTTTCAGAAATTCCTCCTTGCCAGCGGACGTATCAGGACGAAGAACTTTCACAGCGACTAAGGTGTGATCAAGGCTGCACTTGTAAACTTTACCATATCCTCCTTCACCAATCACAATATCCTCAGCAAAAAAGCCAGTCGCCATGTGTATATCATCTCTCGTGTACCTTCGGTACCTCTGATCACAAGATAATAATGCATCAGCAATTCTCTTCTTTTCGAGCGACTCTTGACGGGCTTTCAGTTCAGCCATCTGCCTTTCATATGACTCTTTCGCTAGAAGTGCTTTTGCAGTCTCAACCTCCTTCTCGACTTCCAGGTATTTCTCTTTCTCCAGAGCAGCAATTTTCCTTAGATCCTGCTCCCTTTTCCGTGCAGCAGTTGCTCTCTGTGCTTCTTGAGTGCATTCAGAAGAAAGCAACAGGACCTGAAACATAAAAGCTCCGGCTTAGTTTCCTTTGTTGGGAAAGAAATCACGATTACTAATATTCACGAATATCCAATGTCATATCTGACCAATCATTACAAGTGAACTCAAAACTGTCAGGTACGCTAGGATCGATGTTAATTGATAAAATATTCTTTAAGGGAAACATGTAAATGTAAGCCAATCTTAATTAAGAATCTAAAAGGGAGCAGGCAATAACATTTTATTATCGCATTTGAATAGGTGAAAATTTGAAACCCAAATGATCGGAGACCGGTCAAGCTCGTACCTTGTTTTGTGCACGGACTAAGTCTTGGCGAGCTCGATTATACATGGTCAGGGTGTTCTCCAGCTCTAGACGCAGTTGTTCTATTTCAGCCTGAATTTCTGACTGAAAATCAAACGTAAGTTATACTTCTCGTTAGGTGAAAATTTAATTATAATAGAACTGTGGCCTTCCCAAGTTACAATATAGAAGCTAAAGTACTTTTTCTGGAACAAAATACCTTCTGGCAAAAACTAGTATATACTATAGATAATTACAAGACAATTACCTGCTCTGAGCAGGACGAAGAAATGAATGGAAATCTTTTGTTCCTGGGTATATCTGAGAAACTATCTTCTGAGGCTTGAGGGGAGTTTTCTTGAAGATCATGTGAATAAAAAGAAGAGAAACTAGACGTTGATGCATGAGACTTTGGTCGATTAGCGCCTGAGAGGCAGTCATGGTATATGGAGTCTGCAGGTGCAGAAGAAAGCGCTGATGTTTGTCTACTACATGCACGAGAACCAATATCTGTACCTGGTAAATTGCAAATGATACTAGGTGAAGGCACGAAAGATGGCTGAATGGTTATGGAACCTAATAACTGACATACCAGTTCTTAACATAGGGTTCGATGAATTAGACACAAGCTTATCAATAGAGATCACATAGACGTTGCATGTATCAGGAGCATGTTTGAGAACAACTGATGGCACCTCATAATTGGGTTTCCTAGAAATAAGATAATGAATCATCAATACCCTGAACCCTGCAAACAATCAAATGCTAATATTTACCATAAAAATACCAATCTACCAGAAACATATTTCACATTGAACCTTCAACCTGGAGTTTATCAGGTAAAGATTATTTACTTCTAAACTCTGGAACTTAGTATTAATTGTAAATGAATCCAATAAAGTATACAATTATTATGATAGCTCTCCAATCATAGTCAAACATTAGGTTTCAGGGCAAAAAATATAATCTTGTAGTGTAATTTTGCATTGAAAAATAAGTGTTGAAAGACCATAAGGAATATTAACCAAGAACATAAGGCCAACTTTACCTTGCAAAGTAATTGGATGAGCAAGAACCCAGCACCAAACTTGAAATTCTTGAGTCGGATATATACCTTAGAAGAGCATAGCCAGGATTGTCTCCTTCCAGTAACAGCGTCTCCATCTATAGCAGTATACATATTCTAAGATCAACAAGATAAGGTAAATACTAGCTGAAATGTAGGCTGGAAGGGAACCGCACCTTTTCTGTACTATATATATGCTTAAAAGTCAAAAGATCTTCTTCACATTTTTGCATCATATCTCGAATATACATTTCCGCTACACTTGCATCAAGCTCCTTGAGGGAGATGCTACCACCTGCTGTTAAATGCATTCCTGAATACATTAACTCATTTGACAAGCTAAATACTGATATAATAGTGAAGTAGAGATTGAACTTGGGTGAGTTATCTCAACATTATAGAAAAATAAGCAGGTCATCAAAAGAAAGCCAAATTGACTTCAACACTAAAGATTAAATAATTTCAGAAAGCTAATTAAAAAATGCAGAACTAGAGATAAAGGAAAATAAGCAACACATAAAAGGGCATCAGGTATCAAACTGTCGGCTTTTTAACAATGTTAATCATATCATTTATGAAGGAAAAAAAAAAAACTACAATTAGGAAGAACCAGAACACTAAACCCAATCAACCATACTTCAATGTTCAAACAGCATCATCCAAATTCACAATACTCAAAACTTCACTTGAATTTGCGAAGCCAAGAGGCAGCACAGTTATAATTCTAAGGCTTTCGACTTGGATCTAAATCTATTCTTAAGTTTTTAGTTTCTGTTGCACACAATGTGATGCAATGGCCTGCCGAAGACATTTCCAACCTCTGAGAGAAAATATCCGAGATCATTGATTCCATGTCTACACTATACAATGATAACCAAGAAGGCAAGAACCGACATTTTCGCTGCAACTTGTAAAAAACATAACAAGATTGAACTCATTCATTGACCATTTGACTAGTAGCTACTTCATTAAACTTTACCCTATTGTGGAACTATGTTATTTCAAATAATCAAGCTCAAGCACACCCACCACATACACACCAACACAGAAAGACAGAGAGAGCATGAAGACAACGGAAAATGGAGACCACATGCGAATTAGCACTATACCATACAGCAGAAAGAAAAATTACTCGAGTTGGCCAAATTCATCAACCCTTGAAAAGCCTAGACACATTCAACGATTCCGATTAATGGAAGAACAAAGGCGTGTGCGGTGTGCCTATTGATAAATTCGAGGTGTGTGGGTGACGGCAGGGTATCGGGAGAAAAGGCTAACTTACACGGAGTGGGAACGGAAGTGATGACGGGCATGACATGAACCAAAACAAGGCGATCGACTTTGTCGATCAGGTTCTCGACCGCCCACCTCACCGCCCGCCGGCTTCCTCTCCCGTCGGCGCTCTTCACCGCCACCGCCACCGTCTCCACGGCGCCGCCGCTGGTACTCATTTTGCCGATAACTGGTGACAGTTTTGATTGGCGTGGAATTTGAACAGATGATGAGTGACTTTATGGACGGCGGAGATTTAATCTGGAATATGGTTGGCGGATGAGTTTATATAAATTGTCTGCTTTGCCCTTTGACTGGTCCATGGGCATCGAAAGGGTAGAATTGACAATTGTATGCGCGGCGGCCGCGGCCGGTGTGCTAGTCCAATTCAGCATCTATCCCCTCTTAATATAATTTGAAAACGTGTTGAGCCTAAATGGCTGCCTTGCACGTTTCGGAAGCTTACTTGGCAACATTACATGCTTCGGCTTTTGGTTCGGATACATTCCCTAATTCTGTAAAATAAAATAATTAATAAATAAGATTTTTATTATAATTTGTGCTTCGGCTTTTGGTTCGGATACATTCCCTAATTCTGTAAAATAAAATAATTAATAAATAAGATTTTTGCTTAATCTGATCCCCTCCAACTATAAAATAAATAGGATTCTTATCTTATATACCGTGTTCCCTAATTCTGTAAAATAAAATAATTATCCCTCCAACTACAAAATAAATAGGATTCTTACCTCATATACCGTGTAAATAGATTCTTATCTTATATACAGTGTGTAAATAGGATTTTTTGCTTAATATTATAATAAAAATTTAGACGTAATTCATGAAATACCAAAATAAAAATTCTAGCTTTATATATTATTTTATTTATATAATTAATGTAAATAATAACTTTTTTATATAGTTTAAATTAAAAAAATACTATAATTTTACAAAAATAAATTGGACACATATATAGCCACTTGCATATTATATGTTTTCAATCCAACCATGGTAAATAAATTATTTAAATATTTTTAGAATATCTATAAAAATACATTGAAATAGTTATACAACAACACGTGTTTTTTCTATTATTTTATGTTTTATATTTTTTTTTCAAACAACCCGTGTAGTACACGGGTGTCGTACTAGTATTTATTTATATCTATATCTACTAGTGCGTAGCTTGTACGATGCAAGAGTATATTATATTAATTATTAAATAAGAAAAAAGTTAGTTGTACAATATTTTTGTGCAACATTCAATGACAACATAATGTAGCATAATGTGAGTGGTTGACATTCAAATAAATGTATGGTTAAGATTTGAATTAATAATACTTTTAACTATATTGTCAACTAAAGTTGTAAACTACAATTGTACATGTAACATTGTCTATAAATTTTTGAATAGCATGATCAAAAGAAAATTTGTCCGTTCAAGTTAAAGAAAGATTGTAAAAGGTTTATTTGAATGCAAACCATAAATTATGGTTTTAAACAAATTGAAGAATTACCAATTTTCAAAACTGGGTCATCACCCTCTTGAATTGGCCGTATATTTTGGCTTCACAAAATTTGAAACGGCTTCTCAAGGCTTAGCAAATGGAGTTGTTCTTAATAAAAAATAATGATGTGCTAAAGGAGTTACGAAAGCTGACGATAACTTGGACATTTTGACAATTTCGGTTCTTAATAATGTATTTGGACGAAATGTTGATCAACCAATAAGGAAGAATTTTTGGTTACACATCTACTGTACAAACAATTTAGCTTATTAGATTAATAAAACGAGGACATCTGGAATAATCTATAAGCTTCTGGAATAATTAGTTGAGCTATTAAAAAAATAACTACACAAAGCCATTCATCACAAAGATTATAAAATGTCGATTCTTTATTATTCGAACGAGGTACTACAATTACTATGATATATTTTTACAAGGCACAAACATCGTCAAAAGACAATGATGAAAGTAAAATTCTTAGCAAGTACAAACTATGCAACACATTTGGCCTTAATACATCAAATTCACAAGCAAACAAATGTGATGGTATAAATAACGATACATAAAATAACCATAATAAAAAAAATGTCGTTAAATTGTGATGAAAAAAAAAAAGTAAACAAGCTATCCAGATAATAAGAAAAATAATTGAGTATGAAAATTGATATGAGATATATGGTTATATACATTATAGAGAAAAGAGGATTTGAAGAGAGTCACGTAAATCCAACAAATCTCACTAATTTGATGAGATTTCTACTAGAACTGTCTTTGTAATTTTATTAAAAAAGTCTCCAAAAGTCTTATAAAGTCTTCCTAATTTTGAATACATGATGACTTATTAAGACTCTTAAAAAGTTTCAATTGATTACACTGAGACTTTTAAAGATTTATAGACTTTTAGAGATTTATAAAAAGTTTTTAAAATTCTCAATTGAATACATAGAGACTTTCCAAAAATCTCAAAAAGTTTTAATTAAATACACTAAAATTTTTAAGGGTAAATAATTTCTTACAATTTGTACTATACTTGTTTTTATGAAATTCAAACTAAAGTATTCTTTGTTGTAAATGGCAACCTGAACTACATATACAGTCACTATTTGCACGCTCGACCACATCTTGACCATACACGTGTCCTTTTTTGGGGATGATCGGACGGTAAAAAAATAGTCGACCGTGCAAATAATTGTATATATGTAGTTCAAGTTGCATTTTACTAAAAAAAAAAAAATATTTTAAGTTGAAAATCCTAAAAGCACGTAAAGTACATGTTGGAAACAATTATTTACTCTTTAAAGTCTTAAAAGGTTTTAATTGAATACACTCTCTTTTAATCTTTGGAATTATATATGGAGAGAATAGGTGTAGGGAGAGAGGTCTGGGTTTTAAGAGAATTATTATAAATTCTAATTGGTACAATTATACACACTACAAGAAAATGATGAAATTACTATGAAAAATTCCAACGGTAAAAATATTCCAATGGAATTCCAACGACAATTCCAACGGATATTCCAATGCTATTATTACCAATGGAATTTTTCAATGGATTCCAACGAAAATTCCAACAAAAATATTCTGTTGGAATGAGTTTTCCATTGGAATTTTCGTTGGATTTTGACGATTCCAACGGTAGATTTTTCAACGGGGTGGAAATAAAAATTGCAACGGAAATTCCTATGGTAAAAACCGTTGGAAAAATAGCCGTTGGAATCATCAAATTCCATCTAAAATTCCAACGAAAAACTCATACCAACGGAATATTTTCGTTTGAATTTCCATTGGAAACATTTCAACGGAAGCTATACTATTGGAATATCCTTTGAAATTTCTATTGGAATGTATTCCCATAGGATTTTCTTGGAATATAATAATTTTTTTTGTAGTGACATATTCTATTAATTTTCTATGAGGAAACAAATTGTGGATCGATTCGCAAGATTTATTATTTTATTTTAAAAAATAATAAAACGAAAAAAGAAACCTTCTATCTTAAACTTATAAAGATAGGTGTAAAACATGGAGGGTACATTTATATTAAAATATATATATGTTAAAAAAGATGTGTGAATATTAATTCGGCGAAGGTGTTGTGCTATGGACCATAATGTTGGACCCATTGGCAATTTATACACATATATGTAAAGATACGTGTAAAACATGGAGGGTACATTTGTATTAAAAAATATATATGGTAAAAAAGATGTGTAAATATTAATTCGGTGAAGGTGTTGGGCTATGGACCATAATGTTGGACCCATTAGCAATCTACATATATATATTCCTATATGGGAGTGACTAGAGTACCGACACGACATCATTCCGTTCCTTTAATATAAACCATTCGATATTATTACTCATTCTCGTCCATTAGATTCAGAGGTGGTGTACATTACCACTATGTATACTACTGTAGACAATTGTTTCCATCATTGTTAACGGTAAATATATTAAAAAATGAGTAGCCCACAACTTAAGTATCTAAATATTTTTTATTAGAAAAAATAATTTTCAATAAATATATAGAAGTTTCCACATATAATCACAACACTATAAAAAATTTTATTTCATGATCATCAAATATTTTTCCCCGTAAAATTAATTTATTTATGGAATGTAGAGGATGAATTTTGAGAAATATAATTACATTAATTACGAAATATTATTAAAATCAATTGATAACTTAATAAAAAATTTCTATTTTTTTTATATTTCTAAATTTATTGGTATTTTATTTGTTACATCTTCAAGAGATGACTAATTTCATATATCATATATGAAAAAATATAACAAATATAAAAGTTATTAAACTTTAAAATATATTTATAATAAAATAAATCTAATGTATTCTAATTTTAGATTTAATAGTGAGTGTGTATATAAGTTCTAATTCTATATAGGATAGTCCGATATATAAAATTTGACATATAGAATTATGAAGTATTTGAAATGATTATCAAATACAAAAGTTGACAAGAAAAGTTTTTCATTCATATATAAGGAGAGATGCATATTAATTAAATATAAAGTATGTAATAAAAAAGAAATAAAAAGTAAAAATAAATTTAATATTAAATAACATTTTTATATAACATCATATATGCATTCGTGATTAATATTAAATAATATCCTTCCTTTACGTAAGCGTATAGTTTTCCAAATCTACATGTCAACTTCTGGTGGTTAGTAATCGTATATGTCTATTTTTAGTGCTTCTTATATGTTAAATATTTGTGGTTTTCGAGTAGTACATGTATTGTTCGCCTATATTTTTAAAGTTCGACCGCAAGTGTACGGCTTCGCTCGTAGTATGTGGCAAGCAAGGTCGTATCCCAAGAGACCAAATAATTAATATATCAAGTACCAGACTATGATAGTGTCAACTTTATTTAGACGATCTCTCCTTGTCTTAATGCTAAACTGATAAAGCTGATAGAACCACCAAACCTGTCTCATCCTCAAAAGGAGAGTTTGCATAGATAATCGCTGCGCCACCCTACGCCCCTAGCTGGCACCATACATTGAATGTTTATTTCACATTTTTGGTGTATAAATACCGACCCCTTGAGGTCCTAGAACATGAACCCCAAACAGTTTCTTATTAAAAATTTCGTGGAATCATTCTCTGTGGCGATCGGCAACAATGGTGTCTTGTCCTTTTTTCACGCATATTTAATTTCACAGATCCATCAAAATTGTTCTTGAGATTCATTACAATTAATCTATATATACTGAAAGTTGTTGGTGGAATAATCTAATAATAACTTTGACTTTGTTATTAAATAGATTGGATTACTATTAAATGAAA